ATAATTACACTGTAATTCCAACAGCTCTGTGCTGCTGGAGCATTCTGATATCATTCTGATCTACAAAGTGCCTGGGGTCAAGCAGTGTTTTTCTACATCTTAGTAAAGAATTTAAAGCAAGTGGAAAGGGAAATGCAAAGCACACAGAAAGAAAATAGATTAAAGCCTTGTTGTTGTGTTGTGCTTGCAACTGGAAGGTGAACCTGCTTAACTAATAATGGTGGAGCCAGCTCAGCCAGCAGATCAAGCCAGTGCTTTTTAGCAGAATGTGCATCTCTGGGCTCATATCCCACTGAAACAGGTTCTGTCTGTGCTGTATCCCCAGGCACAGGTTCTGATCTGTGGCTGAATTAAGTCAATGTTTTGAGAAGTATTATAGGAGATTCAGGGTCCTGTGTCCATGGCCTGCTTTACTTTGCCAGGAGTGCAATACTCCAATTAGAGGAAAACCATGTCCAGTTCTCCCTATTGTTTTGTTTAACAATTTATGAAAGGAAATTTACACTGGGAGAGGGACTCCATGATAGCTGTGTTGATAAGGGAGAACAGGGACCTGAGAAAACCCTTCTTGGCTGTGTTTTTAAATTAGACTTCTGGATTAATCTCAGTGATTCAAGTGTAGAGCAAGGCTGTGGTGCTGTGTCCTGGTGTCCCTGTGGAGCTCTGCTTTAGTGTGGTACATTAATGATGCCCTCCAGTTGTTCTACATGGCCAGAGCTGTGTGCAGCTCTGTGGCTTTCAGCAGGACCTGGGTGTTCTTAGGATGATTTGGAAGCACAAAAGCTATTTCTCTCCCTCTTATAAGGAACTTCGTGTAGCTATCAAAGGGGGCTAAAGCTGCCTTTGGTAGAAACTCCAGGAGATTTCAGGAATATAAATAGGAACACAAAACTGCTGGCTCTGCTCTAAAAGCTCTGCCTGTGGGAGAAACCAGTGTGAAGTTTGATTATTTTGTCAATGAGAATCTCCTATAGTACAGAAATTGTCTTTCCCTCCCTTCTAGTCCTGAGCTTGCTTTCATTTTTTCTTTCTAGCTTGCTGTTGCACAAGGCTTCCTTTTTCCTGTAGGAAGGAACAACTGGGTAATTGAAATGGAACACTAGTGAGGATTTTTTAATGTGAAAGTCAGCATTAATTAGTCAGGTCGGGTGTAATTAGCTTCCTCATCTGTCGCTGCTTCTCTCCAACTTGCCAATGACTTTCTTCTATCCTAGATGTCACTGAAAAAGAACTGTCTTGTGGGAGCTGCATGGTTGAGGTGCAAGAGAGTGACAATCCCTGTGGGGCTGTTGGGGTTTGAGCTGGATCCTGCCTGCAGGAAGCCTGTTTGCTTTGGAAATAGAAGAGGGAAACCCAAGAAATCTTAATGCCTACCCAAACCAGCTGAATCAGTGCCTGCTCTCTAAAGAAACAGACCCAGGACTCCAAGGAGTGCTTTAATCCTCTGCCTCTTTCAACCAGGCACAGGCTAAGCTTGCACAGGAGTGAGGCAGAGCTTTAATGAAGGCTGCAGGATTAAGTTCTCTGTGTATATCCTGGAGCTGAAAAAGTAATTGGGCCCTGATTCAGTGCTGGGAGTCTCTGGATAGTATGAAAAGTGATGGAGGGAAAACAGGCCAGTCCCTAAGTAAAATTCAAGCAGAAAAAATGCATTTCAGTTCCCTTCTGGATGATTTGAGGGTTTATCTCCCCTGCCATTTCCATTTGCCATGTTTTAGGTTGGACAGGCTTTCATCCTGACCCAGGCAGGATCTGAGGAAGGTGGCAAAGCCAGATGAGCCCCAAGGGCAATGCTGAGTGTGCCATGTCTGGCTTTGGAGCTGGACCAGCTCTCCTGCAGGGGGTTCAGATGGATGATGGATGGTTCAGTGGATGCAGGCATGTGTGTACCCTGTGAGCAGAGGGAGGCTGGGGACAGCCCAGGTGCCACCCACCCTGCCCTTGCCGCTGTTCCAGATCAAGTCTTGATCCTTCCCTGGCTCATGTGAGTGTATATAGGGGCTTCTCCAGAAATTTCTGTGCTGGAGTTCACACCAGTGCCAGAATTTGTGCCAGTCTGCAGCTGGAGTGTAACACATGTTGGTCACCAGACATTACAAGTTCCCATGTGTTACAAATTGGGGTTTGCTTCACCATGACAATTGATGGAAAAGTCAGAGGGAGATGCCTGAGATCTGATCCCATCCTTAAGCTGAGGATTTAGCACTTGGTTAAGAAAGAAGATGGTGTGATCCCTTTTCTGCTGCCTTACTATTGTGTTGCTCTCTCTCATTTCCCTTTCTTGTCACATACGGGCTCTTCTGTCTCAGGATAAGAATCTTTTCCCTCCTTCTCTTCAGTAAAATGGGAAAGTATTATGGCTCTTAACCTCTCTTTCTAAAGAGAGAATTACAGAGAGTGTGCTAGTTCAGATCTCACAGTAACTCCATTCTGTTGAAGGAGAGCCCAGGCCATGGGGAGAGAAGTTGGGGGTGCAGGGGAGGTACCTGCAGGTACACACCAACCTGCCCAAGGGGGATGGCTGAGGTTTACACCTGGGTTCCTGCAGCATCAGTCCACACCAATGTGACCTGGAGCTGTCCCTTAGAGGCTGAAGGGTGCCAGTCCCTGTCAGCTGAGTGAAGGATGGGGGTCACACACCAGGTGTGCTGGGGATGCCTGGCACAGGTGAGCAGTGTGGGGTGAGCTGTGAGCTGGGGCTGACAAGGTGCTGTGTTTGGGGGCTGCCATGCCAGCAGCCTTTGGACACGTATCTTGTCATCTTGGATGGGATTATGGCTGTGTTTGGGAGTGTAGAGTGTGAGAGAGAAGGTAAGAATTCTGTGGTAAGAATCCTCCAGGAGAGGATTAATTTGCAGATTCAGAGACTTGGGAAAGCTTCCTCCCTGTCATGACGCAAATCAGGCTTTGCAAGCAGCAGCACAAGAGTGCTTGGGTGTGTGTTCCCATGAAGCTGAGCAGCTCCTGCCTGTCCTGGGCAGCAGCATTTTGACACTCTTGGCTTTGTCCCAGTGCAAAGGGCTCACACAGTGATCCATGTGTATTCAGGGAATCTTTCAGGCACTCCTTGGTTGTTTAGGATTATGCATCCTAAATATTAATCTCAGTGGAGTCTAAAACCAGCTAGATTACTCCTAACCTTTCCAGAGGATTGACAAGACACCACCCACCCTGTGTTTTCCTCTTGCTGTCTCAGCCCTTCATGTGAAGGGAGCAACAACATAGAAGAGTTTTATGAGCTGACCTCTCTTCCCTATTTCTCAGCCTGCTGAGGGTTGAAGGTCTGGCAGGAGAGGGGCTGTGGCCATCTGCCAGCAGTGGTTTTTGTCCTGAGCTGCAGGAGGCTCACAGGTGCCCTCCTGCACAGTCTCCACAGTCTAGCTTGAGGTGGGAGAGCCACAGTACGAGCCTAGCCAGGGTGAGGGGCTGGGAGAGCCCCTGCTCTCACTCTGACAGGCAGGATGGGGTATTTTGGGACAAGATCAGGTGCAGATTAAAGGCACTGATGAACATTCCTGCTTTCCTTGGTGTGGGCTGGAGCAGGGAGCAGGAGCTCAGAGGTTCCTTGTTCTCCACAGGCTCTGTGATGAAGGGAACCTCTGCCCAGATGTGCACAGATGCTGTCCACACCAGGCTGAATCCCATGGGAGCTGCTGTGGACCCTGTGAGCTCTCTGTGAGCAAAGCCACTGGCATTGCTCAGACTGGCCAGAGCCAGAGAGGTTGCTGTGATCCTTGCTGCTTTGCACCAATGCTCCTCTGCCAGAGAACATTTTTGTCACATTGCTTTCTCCTCTCAGTTCAAGTTCATGCAGCTCCTAGGCCTTCTGAGGATGTGGAGTTAAGAGGTATGGGCAATTTATCTTTCTGCTGACATGAGGCCAGTTAAAATAGAAACACTGGTTAGCAGCAAAGCTCGTAAATTTTTTCAGGCCTGTGTGTAAATTGCTTTCAACTCCCAGGGTCAGGTAACAAACTGAGCCTGTTTGTTCATTCATTCAGTGCCAAGGGCTTTGCTGCCTGGAGCCAGAAAAGGGAGGGACACTTCCAGGGTCAGGGCTTTGCTCTGAGGGACCACCACCAGTGGATCCCTGTGAGACACTCAGGGTAAGTCTGGGAACCTGGGAAACCCTTGCTAAGGAGAGCACCTCCCAGGGATTATCCCTTTCTTTCCTGGCCAAGTCTGGGCTGATCAGGGAGGGTTTCCTCCTTCATTCCATGAAAGCAGTAACTGCATTTTCTTCCCGGTTGTTCTGTAGGAATGGGAAAAACACACTCCACTAGCAATATCCTGCAGGAATGGAGGGAAAGCAGGTTGTTCAGCCCTTTCCCTTCCTATGTTGTCAGTGCATATCCCATCAGGAACCAGAGCAGGGTCACAGTGAGTTCTGGGAGGGGTTGATGTGTGCAGGTGTGGGTGTGTGCTCAAGCACAAGCACACTTCATGGGAAAGATGAATACTGCTGTAAACAGCTGGGGGAAATCATTGCCAGTTCTAAGGAGGAGATAATGCTCCCTTAGCATTTTGTATCATTCTGGTAGCATGAAACTGGTCCTGGGTGTGAGAACCAGGTTAGCTGATTAAATGTTCCAGGTTAGCTGATTAAATGTTCCAGGTTGGCTGATTAAATGTTCCAGGTTAGCTAATTAAATGTCCCTGCTGCTGCAGGAGCTGTGAATCTGTGAATCCCTGCAGTCCCCATGCCTGGTGCTGCTGGAGCCATGCAGAGCCTTCCCCTGCCACAGCACTGGGCTCTGGGACTGTCACTTCTCCCTCTCTGGTTCCTCTGCCAGGCAGAGTGTGGGATACCTCATGGCAAGGCTGTTGTTTCAGTGGCTGTAGCAGACCTGTGGGGTTTGGAAGGAGTGATTCTTTCCTCCTGAGGGAGCTGGAGCGTGCCTGGCTGTGCTGCTGCGAGCCTGTGCATTGACAGCTGTGCCTGTGCCACCGCTGCTGGGTCCTGCTGACTGCCCTGCTCTGTCTGTGTGCAGGTGCCTGACATGGACACAGAGGATGACCCATTGTTACAGGACGCCTGGCTAGAGGAGGAAGATGAAGAGGAAGCCTTCAGCTCCCGGAAGAGGCGAGAGGGTGCTTTGTTGTGTGGGAAAAGCCCGTGCAGAGTCAGGCCCCTGTGTGTCACGCTGCCTGTGTCTGGCTTCTGGAATATTGTTGGTTGGGTGTTTACCAACCCGTACTGTGCTGGTTTCATACTTTTCCTGGGCTGTGCCATCCCTGCCGTGCTTGCTGTTGTCATGTTCCTCCACTACCCTGCCCTGGATATTGACATCTCCTACAACGCTTTCGAGATCCGCAACCACGAGTCCTCGCAGCGCTTCGACGCCCTCGCCTTGGCCCTCAAATCCCAGTTTGGGTCGTGGGGGAGGAACCGCCGGGACCTGGCTGACTTTACCTCGGAAACCCTGCAGAGGCTCATCTTCGAGCAGCTCCAGCAGCTTCACCTCAACGCTTCCCACCTTGGGGTGAGCGCGCGGGTCAAGCGCAGCCCGCCGCGGGTCAGGACGAGCTCCGTGCAGCCCCAGCCTCGGCTGGGCACAGGAAACCAGACTTCCAGGGTCGGGAGGGGAGCCCCACGCTGGGACTACTCCAGCACTTACCTCAGTGCCAACACGCAGACACACGCTCACTGGCGCATCGAGCTCATTTTTCTGGCTCGGGGGGACTCGGAGAACAACATCTTCACCACCGAGCGCCTGGTCACCATCCATGAGGTTGAGCGCAAGATCATGGACCACCCTCGCTTCAGGGAATTCTGCTGGAAGCCCCACGAGGTCTTGAAGGATCTGCCCCTGGGTTCTTACTCCTACTGTTCCCCTCCCAGCTCCCTCATGACCTACTTCTTCCCCACTGAGAGAGGAGGGAAGATTTACTATGATGGCATGGGGCAAGACCTCGCTGACATCCAAGGTGAGCTGAGGGCCATGGGCAAGGGCTGGAATGCTCAAGGAATGCCTCTCTCAGGTTCAGGCAGTCTGTGGTGTGCTGCAGCTAAGAGGAGTGACTGCCTTGTATGGAGAGGAAGATGCTGGGCTGTGCCTTCAGGAATTGTCTTTTCTGCACCAGGGCTCCTTTTCAACCCTGCAGTGCCAGTCACAGGTCACACAGACCCCCACAGGCGAGCGAGAGGGACAAGTGAGGGAGTGTCCTGCATGGTACAGATGTCTCCTGCTGACCCTTGTCCCCTGTAGATGGTTGTGGTTAACTGGAGCAATGCCAGGGCTTGGAAAGACAATAGGGATGAGCTTCCCTGCGGTACAGAGCAGATTAAAGAGGTCTGTGGGCTGCTCCAGCAGCTTGTGAGTCACCAACTGGAAAGGTTTCTATAAGGAGAGGAGGAGAGAGGCCCTGCCGCCTCCTCCCAGCTCTGGGCCCTGTTCTGTGCTCCTCTCCTAGAACAGAGGCTCTGAGTGGTGACAGAGAGGTGACTCATGAAGAGTCTGTGGGTGTGATGTGGCTGTGGGATGTTCCCTCCATCTGTCTCCCAAGCCAGGCTGCAGAGGGTGCCTGTCCAGGAGCCATGCAGGGAGCAAGCAAAGAATGAAGTCCATCTGCTCCAGTAACAATTTGTTACCAAAACAGGAAAGAGCATAGTTTCTGATCTTTCTGGTATGAACTGTAGGGAGCTGGATTTTGGGAATAGATAGGCAGTGTCTCTTAGTAAGAACTAGCTGAGTGCCTCCATCTCTGCATCCCTCACAGATGGCAGAGGTAGCAGGTCACAGCAGAGCCAGGACTTCTCTTCCATAGGCATTGTTTACTTCTTGGGCTTCCAGGTGTAATGGAGAAAATCTTGTCTCCGTATAAGAGAAGAAAGAGCAGCAGTGGGAGTATTGGTGGGGGTGTTGTTGGCTGGGGGTGCTGTGGGTCAGGTCAGTCAGGTGGAAGATGTGTCCCTGATGGGGAAGTGTGTGTGGGCAGCAACACAAGCAGTCACAGAACAGGAGTAGGATGTGAGACTTTACAATCCAGGTTTCCCTGGCCCTCCTTGGTCTCTGGAAGGCAGCAGCAGCTGCCAGCATCGCTCTGATGAAGGACAGGGTGACTCCCACTCTCCCTGTTGCACACTAGACCCTGTGCCTTGCCAAGACAATTAAGCAGGACCTAACAAAAGTGGCTCTGCTTTCTCCTGCAGGGTCCCTGGAGCTGGCCATGACCCACCCTGAGTTCTACTGGTACGTGGATGAGGGGCTGTCTGCTGAGAACATGAAGAGCTCCCTGCTGCGGAGCGAGATCCTCTTCGGGGCACCGCTGCCCAACTACTACTCGGTGGAGGATCGCTGGGAGGAGCAGCGCCGCAAGTTCCAGAACTTTGTCATCACCTATGTGGCCATGCTGGCCAAGCAGTCCACAAGGTGAGGGTGTGTGCAGGTGAGGGAAGGGCAGAGGATGGGATAGACCTTTCAGGGCAAAAGCTCTGCCTTAAGGTTCGCAGCAGAGCAGGAGGGCCTGTTCCATTCTGATAGCCGTGTTCCATTTGGCTTCACTGGGAAGGCACCGGGCACGGAAGGCTTGACATGCTAGCTTGGACTGCTGGACAGACTTCAACAGTGGCCATGGCAAAATGTTCCAGATGAAGGAGAAAAAGCATCTCCACTGAAGCTGGAGCTGTGAATGATGGTGAGGAGCATATGGCAGAAAACTACTCATCTGCTCCCCTGTGCTGCCACTTCCTACTGCAGCAACATGCCAGAGACACCAGCAGAGACAATGAAAAGGAGACAAAGTTTGAATCTACTGCCTGCCTTTCCACTGAGTCCTTGTGTGGCATTGGATCTTTTTGCTTCCATCTTACAAATCCAGTTCCACCACTCAAACAGAACTGCCTTCCTGCTCTGAATTTGGCCACCACTGGTTTGATGCAGGGGATGAAATGGTCTTTACTCAAGGCTGCTCAACGTGTGGATCCAATTCTGCTTTTGCTTTTTGTACAGAGAGGTGGGGTGGGGAGTCTCAGGGCAGGATAAGTTTCAGGAAGTGCAGGCTTTTCTCACCACCAGGTCTGTATGACTTGGTTGGATAGAACTTTGCTCAGTGCTTGTGTGAGAGAGATGATAAAACAGAGCTAAAAAGAGCTAAAAGAGCATCCCAGTACTCAGGCAGCTGACAGAAGTCTCTGTACCTTCTTAGACTTCAGACTTTCTACTGCTCTGAGTCTCAGTACTTCCCAGAACGAAGGGATGCTGATCTTCAGAAGCAGGTTGGAATGCAGGCAGCCACAGAGCATTCTCAGCAATGGGCTGGGAAAGCAGGTTGTGCTTCTGACAAGCCAAAAGGGAATTGAGGCCAAGGCTCAGCTCCAAAGCCCTGATAGCCTCCTATGGTGCAGCATTGTTGTAGTCCTGGTTAAATTATGTTGGATTACTTCTGCTCTGAGCCTGCTTCCAGAGGCAGAAGCTGGTAAATCATATGGTTTCTGATTAAGCTCTCACTCTGCCTGCATCCGCTGTGCTAATATAATAAGCAATGATTAGGATTCCAGATGGAATTGGCTTTGAAAGCTCCAGGAGCTGTTTATTAGTGCCCAAGACCCATCATGCAGTGGAGGAATTTAAAAAATATTAGACCTGCTCTTTATTTTTCTCCTTCCCTGTGTGAATTTCACCTCCAGCAGCAACTTTGTTCAACCTGCTCTCACTGCTCTGTTTTCTCAGAGAACTAATGCCAGGTCATTAGAGCAGTGACCTCCTTTGGCTCTGGAGGAGATACTGTGCTTTAAACCACTGGGCTCTGCTCCTTTTGTGCTCAAATATTCCTCTTCTTTCATATCTTCCTACCCTAGCAAAGTGCAGGTGCTGTATGGAGGGACAGATTTGTTTGACTATGAAGTGAGGAGGACTTTCAACAATGACATGTTGCTGGCCTTCATCAGCAGTAGCTGCATAGCTGTCTTGGTCTACATCCTCACCTCCTGCTCAGGTAGGCTGGAGTCACAGCTACCCTGTTCTAACACAAATCCAGATGTGCAGTGTCTGTCTGTGTCTGTGCAAGCCCAGGGAGAGGCTCTGATGCCCTGGCACCAGTGTGGCTGTGTGGCACAGCAGCATGCAGAAGGGCAAGCCAGTCTCATTCTCCAGAGCAGAGATTTATGGGCAGGGTGAGGGAAAGACTCACAGGAAATCAGGAAGATGTGAATGCACATCTTACTAACAGTGGCATAAATCTGATGTAATTTTTTGCATGAGCCTCATGGGAAAGAGTCTGCAAGCAGTATCCTGCAGCCTTGAACTGTTCTCTGTCACCAACACACTCATGGGAACCAGTATCCCAGCGGGGCAGGTGGGAGGTGTTGTTCTCCTGGGCTTGGTCAGAGATATTATTTTCTCCATGTTTCTTTTCTGCTGTAGTGTTTCTGTCATTCTTTGGCATTGCCAGCATTGGGCTAAGCTGCCTGGTGGCTCTGTTCCTGTACCACGTCGTGTTTGGGATCCAGTATCTGGGTATACTCAATGGTGTGGCTGCCTTTGTCATCGTGGGGATTGGTAAGCTCATCTTTACTCAGAGCCTGTGCTTTACCTGTGCTGCCTTGCCCTGCCTTCTGTCTGCAGGAGAGAAGAAGGTGATGGTGGCAAATGCAGATTGAATTTTCAGGCCCTTTTCCATTACCTGTAAGCTTAATATTTGCAGGTCAAATGCCAAAGGGGAAATCAGATTTTCAGCAGGTATCACCTCTGTGAGCAGAGTATCAATATTTCTGCTGTCTTTTTCCAGGGGTTGATGATGTCTTTGTTTTCATCAACACCTACCGCCAAGCCACCCACCTCAAGGACCTGCGCCTGCGCATGATCCACACTATCCAGACAGCAGGAAAGGCCACCTTCTTCACCTCCCTGACCACAGCTGCAGCATATGCTGCCAACATCTTCTCTCAGGTACCCTGCACCTTTGGCATTTGGGGTTTCCATTTCTGCCAAAAGGCCCGATGGATCAGGAACCTGCCAGACCTGTAGGGTTGTCTCTTACCTGCTGTAAGGCAGTGGATTATCCAAGGAAATACTTCTGATCAAACAGGCTCTGTCTCAGGGCTTTACCTACCAGGTTTGCTGGTTATCATGACTGAGGTCAGCATGTGCTATTCTGAGGTTCCTCCAGACATCTCTTCCTTGCCTGCTGCCTCCCCAGCAATCCTGCCCCAGTTGATCCCAGCCCCTGTGTTCTCTCTCCTCGTGCAGATCCCAGCTGTGCACGACTTCGGACTCTTCATGTCACTGATTGTGTCCTGCTGCTGGGTAGCTGTGCTCTTCACCATGCCAGCTGCTCTTGGAATATGGACCCTTTATGTGTCCCCATTAGAGAGCTCCTGCCAAGCCAGGTGAGCCCTGGAGCCTGTGGGTGGGAAGCTGTGGAATTTGCAGTCGAGGAGGTTTGCAAATTCCTTCCCTATCATGTCAGTTTGTCCTCATTCCCCTCAAGCAGCTTGGCTTTGGCTCTGACAGAAGGATGGAGCAAAATGGAAGGGTCAAGTCCCTATCTCATTCTCTCAGTCCTCTTGGTTGAATCCCATGGAGTACTGGACCATTTGTTTCCTCAGAGCCTTAATGCACAGCTAAACCTTCAAGCAGTGGACACAAGCCCTGCAAGGCAGGCAGATCACCATTGCTCCTGCCTGTGAGCACAAGCAGGACGTGGAGATTTGTGTTTGAAAGTCAGCACATTTCCTCTTCCCCTGCTCTTTAGCACTGCAGGTGACCTGGCCTGATTTAATTCACTAGCAGAGAGATGAAGTGCTGAAAGTCCCATCAGCACCCAGTGTCCATGGCTCAGCCCTGCTCTGTGTATCCAGCCCAGCCCTTGCCCTCTCAGCACTCAGCAATGGAATTTGCTCCTGGCAGTGCCTGGTCTTTCCAATTACTTGGAGCAGGCTGTTGCTGCGCTCCTTGCCACTGAAGGAGCCCACTGGTAACTCTTCACAGGGTATGTGGCTTAAAACTCTTGCCTTTGTCTCCTTTCCTGCTTCAATGCAGCTGCAGTCAGAAGTGCACCAAAAAGAGTGCCTTGCACCTGGCTGAAGATCTCTTCATTGCCTCAGACACCACCTCCAGAGCAGGCAGAGAGACCCTTCCCTACCTTGATGATGACATCCCACTGCTCAGCGTGGAGGAGGAGCCTGGTATGTGTGTGCTGTGTGCTGCCTTTAGGGGATCACACTGCCCTCTGCATCCTGCAGTTCTCCCTACCCCTGACATTGGTCCTTGCCTCAGTACCCCAAAGTGTAAACTGGAGCCATCATGGGAGGTTGTAGGAGTCACAACTCAGTATTCTTCATAAGTTTGCTTTGAGGTCTTCAGTGAGTGTCAGTGCATGCTTTCTTAACTACTTTGCTAATTCTCTGTGTCCGCTGTGGTCTGCTTTCTGTCTGGAATCACTGATTGTGACATGGATGTAGCCATGAAACATCTAATCCATAACACCAGGACAGCTCACCATGGAGAAAGGTTTTCCCTTCTTCCCTGCCATTTGGAGCTCTGCATTTGGGAAGCAGGAGAAAGAGCACTGTTGCTCTCCAGCATCAGCCCCCTAGAGCAGCTCCTTCATTATGGTATGAAGAGGGCAGGGACTTGCCTGATATCACATAAGCAATCTAGAAAAAAAGCCCAGAAATTCCCTGTCTGTTGTTGGCAGGAGATAATCCTTCCAGCCCTGATGGCAAGAAAAAGGTCATGCTCTTTTGTACTTGGCTTTTAAAACTTGCCGGATTCTCTTCCTTTTAAAACCCCCAACAGCAGTGAGTACCTTTCAGGCCTGGAAGCAAACTGGAGCTGGAGATAACTAAACCAGTTCCATGGCATGTGCAGAGCCCTTGCTGCAGAGTAGGCTCTGAGATGCCTTTGACAGGCAGGCAGAGCAGCTCTGACTCTGTGAGTTCTCCTTAGTATGCCAGAGCCACATGCAGTGCTGATGTATGGAAATAATCCCCCTCTTCCCTGCAAACACCAGAATGTTTTCCTCCAGGGCCCCTGGGCATCAGGGAACTGTGAAGAAGCAAAGCAGCTTGTTCCAGTCGCTGACCAAGCGTGGTTTGTGGTTTGCAGTGTGCCAGGCATCATCCCAACACAGCAAGTGCCCACTTGTCACACACAGAGAAGGGGGCAGTTCCCTTGGCATCCCTGATCTGGAGATTAGAGAATCAGGGAGGAGCCAGGCTGCAGTCAGGAAGAGGTCAGCTGTGTGTAATTAGCAGGAAGACGTATTTAGTAGGACAGGGACAAATTCTGCTTGGCCCAAGAAGCATGCACTGTCCCTGTGACCTTATGGACAACATTTGTGGGGTTTGGTAGAGCAAGGAACAGCCTGAAGCACAGATTTGGACTAAGCTGTGGATTTACATTGTAGCTGTTGCATGGCAGTGACTTGACAAAGATGCTGCTTAAAACATCCTGGAATCACTACCTCTGCCAGGGTCTTACTCCACCTCTTTAGCTTGAGTGAGTTGTACAGCACCTTGCAGAAGGTTTGATAAAGGAGGGCAGAGAGCTCTGAGAGACATAAAACTGAGACTGTTTTTGATTTCTCTCTATTCTAGTCTCCCTGGAAATGGGGGATGTCCCCTTGGTGTCTGTGATGCCAGAAAATCTGCAGCTCTCTTCAGAGAAGAGCAACAGGGGTCACTTGATAACTCATCTGCAGGAGCTGCTGGAACACTGGGTGCTGTGGTCTGCAGTGAAGAGGAGATGGGTGATTGTGGGTAAGGAAGGAGGCGATTTGCATCTGCATGGATTTTAGGGGGTTTGACATTTCAATCAGTCTCCAAGCCTTGATTATTAGTGACAAGAGGTGGGAAAAGGGACATGGGAGACAGCTTCTAACACAGTGGAAGAGTGCTCCCTGAACATTCAGTCCCTGAGGGACTTTTCCATCCCTTTCTTCTCACTCAGATCTGAAGTGGCAAATCCCGATGGAGCTTTTTCCAGGCATGGGGAAAAGAAAGCCCAGCTGCCACTGTGCTTTAGTGGCTGTTCTTTTTCCAGCTGAAAATACCATCCCTGCTCTCTGAGCATGTGTGAAGTGCACGTAGGGTCCCACACTTACCCAGGTTTCTCCTTGCAGGGCTCTTTCTCCTTGTTTTGCTCCTGTCCATATTCTTTGCCAGCCGCCTCCATCCAGCTAGCCGTGCTCCAGTCTTGTTCCGGCCAGACACAAACATCCAGGTGCTCCTGGACCTGAAATACAACCTGAGTGCTGAAGGTATCTCCTGCATTACCTGCTCAGGTGAGAACACTGATCCCCAAACCATGGTGGGTGCAGCCCAGCCTGGCCCAAGTCCTGGACTGGAGGAGTTGAAATGTGAGGCAGATGCCTACAATGTTCAAATATCTCATTGGGCATGGGATGGAGCTCGTGGAAAGGAGGCACACGTTGGGAATGGTTGAGTTGCCTGTAGGAGTGGGGTATTCAGAAAAGTACTCCCTGCTTTAGCCATGAACTGCATGAGTATTTCTTCTGGAGCAATCCCTTCACAGGGATTGATATGAAAACTGACTATTTTTACTCATAAGTGCTGGTCTCATGTCAGTGCCCAGCTGAGGGTCTGTGTTGCCTGCTCAGGGTTTGGTATTCAGCTGCAGAGTCTGTGGTACACACGGGCCTGGTGCATCTTTTCTCATGCCATTCACTCTGGCCTCCCTGACTAACCTTGTGGGACAGGTTTGTTTCAGGAAAAGCCCCACAGTTTGCAGAACAACATCCGAACTTCCTTGGAAAAAAAGAAGAGGGGCTCAGGGTCACCTTGGGGAAGTAAAGGCAGCATGAGTGATACAGGGCAGCAAGGTGAGTGGGGCATGGTGGCTCTGGCCACATTAGCAGCCAGGGCCCAAGGATCCACTGGGGTACAAACTAAAGCACATGCTCTCTGAATAGCTGATGTGGAATAATTCTCTTCAGAGCCTGCCCCACTGAGCCCTAGGTTGGTGCTGGATGTATGGAGCATCTTTAGAATCCCCCTTTCCCTGAATACCTACTGCTCCCTAGGACATGGTCCTATAACCCAGCTGGCAGCAGTGTCTAGTGTCATATCCCTCTGATCTGAGTACAGTTCACATCCCGGTCCCGTTCACAACCTTGTTGGCAGGTCACAGGAGAGTAAATTCAGTTTGCAGGGGATTTTGAGGATAAAACAGTTATTGGGCCAGGTCCCAAGATGACATGAATCATTAAGCCACCAGGAATTACTGCAGCTCAGGGTGTATTTGTGATAGCCTTTGAAAGGTGTGCTGCACTGCCAGAAGGCAGAGGCTGTGCCTGGTGTCCCAGAGCAGACAGCAGAGAATAACAACCCTCCTTTGCTCTGCCTGTGTCTGTAGGATTTGCTGATTTAACAAGTACCACCAAACCTCATGCCCTCTGTTTTCTTCAGAGCTCCAGGGGACTGTGTATATCTCCAAGTCCAGGAGCAAGGGAAGACCAGCCATCTACAGATTCTCACTCAATGCCAGTGTCCCTGCGCCCTGGCAGATGGTGTCACCGGGAGACGGGGAGGTGCCTTCATTCCAGGTAAGTCAGTCCAGGATGTTGGACCCCTCTAGCAAGAGGGCAGCACGCAGCAGGTGAGCACAAGAGCCTCCTCCTGTCTCTCCATGGGGTCCTGTATAGCTTTGGGTGACGTTTTCAGGGCACTGCAGTAGGGTAGTTAACACAGAAGGCATTGTGCTTGGCATCATCCGAGACGATACCTTGGAGTGCCACAAGACTTCACCTGTTGCTGTTGTGAGGTGACTCTCAGTGATGGGAGCAAAACTGTGGGTGTCTCTAGGGCAGATGTCCCTCACCCTGGGCAGAACAGCCACCATTCAGCCTAGGCCACTGGGAATGGGGGTGTTAAGGGGCCTGTCACGCCTGCCCATCGCTGGGAAGGGGCAGGCTGGGGGCTGTGCCTGCAGTGCTCGTTCTGTGTGGCTGTGCCAGCGCTCAGGGAGGAGGGGAGAGTGTGATGCTGATGTGCAACAGGCTGCAACCCCGTGGAGTTAAGTGTCTGTTTTCATTAATCCATTGCTTAGGTGTATAGAGTGCCTTTCGGTAACTTCACCAGGAAGCTGACAGCTTGTGTGTCCACAGTAGGGCTGCTTAAGCAGATGAGCCCCAGGAAGTGGATGATGACCACCTTGTCCTGTGACACCAAGAAGGGCTGGAAGTTCGATTTCAGTTTCTACGTGGCCTCCAAGGAGCAGCAGCGAACACGGTAACCTTCCCAAACCCCCCTGAGGAACAGCCCAGCTGAGAGGCTGATGTGAGATGCCTCATGGCCACTGCTAGTCCTGCCCTCAATCAGTGACATCCATGTCTCTAGAATTGCTTTGCTGCACGTGTACCCAATCTCTGCAGTCACTTTGCAGGCCCACAGCATCATTTACATGCAAAAGGCTTGACAGACTGTGTCTGGGGGCTTCTTTGGGTGGCAGAAAGATGTTGCTGACCTGTTTTTTGCCCTTACCTACCTGAACTCTTGGGCTGAATGGGCAGCACAGAATATGCAATGGCTAGGGTTCCAGGTCTGCAGATGTTCACCTTTCCCTTTGCTTCTGTCCCTGAGAATATCTGTTTCCACGTGATACTTTGGATGCTTCATCTTCTCTACCTCTGTCCCCCCTTAACAAATTTTCTTTGCTGCACAGGAAATTGTACTTTGCCCAGTCACACAAGCCACCTTACCACGGCCGAGTGTGTGTGTCTCCTCCAGGCTGCCTGCTCAGCTCCAGCCCAGACGGACCCACCAAAGGCATCCTGTACGTTCCCAGTGAGAAAGGTAAAACCGTTCAACCACGCCGAGATCCAGACCATCACACCTTCTTCTGCCACCTGAAGTAACCAATTGTTCTGTATTTGACAGCAGCACCCAAAGCCAAGCTGTCGGCCACGTCTGGATTTAACCCGTGCGTGAACGCGGGCTGCGGGAAGCCGGCGGTGCGGCCGCTGGTGGACACGGGAGCCATGGTGTTCGTGGTGTTCGGAATCAGAGGCGTCAATCGCACGCGACACCCGGACAACCACGTCATCGGAGACATGGTACACCCGGTCTGGCAGGCCGTGCTGGGCTCTCTGGATGGTTTTTAGTTGATACCCACAGCCCAGGGTGGACAGATGGAAGGGCAGAGGTTGTAGCATTGTGATGAGCCAGTACAGTTCTGTTTTAGCAATTTGACAAAATAATGGAGATCGGGAAGTCCTTACTGAAAAAAAAAGCCACTTCAGATTTTCCAGAAAATCCCTCTGAGTGCAATATATAACCTTCTAATTTTGAGTCTAAACCTGGCTTTCTTGAGTGTTTTAGAAACTAACCCGTCTCAAAATCTCACTACAAATTCAAGACTGAGGGAACTGATATTTTTCTATAATATATATATCTTGTTGTGAAGTACTAAGAAAAAATAAAAATCACTTACTCTAGGGAAAGGTTACTAAATGTGACTTTTCTATGAACAGCTTATCTCTGAGATCTGATACCTTGACACATGACAGTCTTTCCCTAGAAAAATTATGCTTAGCTTGGCTGATGCACTTGAGCTTTCTGCTGTTCTTCCTGCTCTGTGATTTGGGGGTAGTGTGCAGAACCAGCCTTTGCCTGTTTCCTCTGAAGGGGCAGTGAGAAATGCAGGCAGCTGAGCTCCAGTTGCTGTGTGTGTGTCTCACGTGCGGTGCTCTTGTCATTGTGTCTCCTTGTGAAAGGGCAGTGTTATCTACGATGACAGCTTTGACCTCTTCAAAGAGATTGGCAACCTGTGCCGCCTCTGCAAAGCCATTGCCAGCAACTCTGAGCTGGTGAAGCCCGGAGGGGCTCAGTGCCTGCCCTCGGGTAGGTTAGACTAACTCCTCTGCAGCCCTACCTGTGCTTGCTTCAGCTGGGGTCCTCAACAGCAAACCAGAAAGGGTGACTGCTTCTTGCTGTCTCCTCTTCTTCCCAAGGCAGCTTGACCCTTCTAGAACATGTCATTGGTTGTGCTTTTTGGGACAGAAAGTAAGAAAGGTGGTCTCTTTAATGCCAAAGACGCTGGGTAGATTCTTTGGGATTTAATCCAGAAAGATAAGAACAGGATTGCATTTGTTCTTTCCAGTCATGGGTATTGCTTGAGAGAAAACATTTTGATTCAGTAAATATCTTCTTAGTAGCTCCTGAATAACAGTGAACTCACACCTGATCTCGTTGCAGTGAGGCTGCTCACTGTCTCTGGCTTTGCACACTTGACCAGTGACCATCTCTCCCAACTTCAGAGGTCACAAGGTTGTGGAGCTGAGCTAGCAGGTTGTGGTAGTTTGGCATTTGGTACATTGTCTTGAGGCTAAAAGTCAGTTCCATGCCTGGAGCAAATCCCTGCCAGGCCAGGCAGACATCCCTCAGCCCTTGCTCTTTGTGTTGTTCCTGACAGCTGGGGACAAACAGCAGTGGCACTGTCCTGTCCCATGCTGCTGACAGAGCCACATGAGAGCTGTGATGCTGAGACCTCAAGGGCTTTGGCAAACCAGAGTGGCAAGGGGAAGCAGCTGTGGACAGATGGGTCCTGTGACTCTTGGGGCTCTCATTTTGGGTTGTTGGTTGGGGTTTTTTTCATCCCCTTGCTCCAGTGTGCTTCCTTTCCCTGTTCTGCACTCCATCTCTTGCCCTTTCTTTCTCTCCAGGTTACAGCATCTCCTCCTTCCTGCAGATGTTGCACCCTGAGTGCAAGAATATCCCTGAGCCAAACCTGCTGCCTGGGCAGCTCTCTCATGGGGCAGTGGGGGTGAAGGATGGGAAGGTGCAGTGGATCTCCATGGCATTTGAATCGGTGAGCAGCACATGGCATCACCTGGTGACGTTGTCATTCTGGTGACAGTGACTTCTGGGGGTTTAGCTCTGCTCTTTCTGCACTGGCCACTTCCATTTGCAGCCATAATTTAGTGTTTATTAGTGTTTGTTGCAGACAGTTGCCTGCACTCACAAGTTGGTAGAAGTGGCTGTTACACCACAATTAGGCAAAAAGCTGGTGGCAGGTTTGCCCAAATGCCACTGCCAGTTCTGCCTGGTGCTGCCACTCCTTGTTCTAGGTTGTTCTGGCCTTTTCCTTGCCATGCATCCCCTGCCCAAAGAGCAGGACACGAGTGATGTGTTTATCTTGTTACAGACAACCTACAAGGGGAAATCATCCTTCCAGACATATGCTGACTATCTGAAATGGGAGACATTCCTGCAGCAGCAGCTCCAGCTCTTCCCAGAGGGCTCTGCTCTCCGGCATGGTTTCCAGACCTGTGAGCACTGGAAGCAGATTTTCATGGAGATTATAGGCAAGTGATGCCATATTTCTCTCCCTGGGGGAGCCCACACTCTCTGACACGTCTTCACAGCACACTCTGTCCCATATGGTGGGCATGGGTTATATCTGCAGTCCCTTGCCATTGCTGTGCAAACTCCTAAAGCCTGTTCCTGCCCTAAGCAATGGGAATTGTCAGAATTAGGCAGAGCCCAAGGGAACAGGTAAGGGAAGGGACTCAGCCCTGCTGCTGCGAGATTCAAGAAACCGATCACCTTCTTTCCGCTTTCATCCTCCCCTTCCTGTCTTCCCCAGTGTGAGTCCCTGCCTGCCTTGTTGCCAGCAGGAACACGGTGCCTTTCTCATCGCAGCTGTCACCTTCCAGGATTCATATCAGCTGGCTGTTTCCTTCCAGGAGTGCAGAGTGCCCTGTATGGTCTCGTCCTCTCGCTGGTCATCTGTGTGGCTGCCGTGGCAGTGTTCACCACACACATCCTCCTCCTGCTGCCAGTGCTGCTCAGCATCTTAGGTAAAAACACCAATTCCAATGTGTCAGGCTCTCATTTGTCCTGGAATTGTTGGATTGTGGCACTGCTGATTCTCTGTCTCTCGTATTCTGTGTAAACCCTTTTGGCTTTCCAGGAGCCAGTGCTGGAGAACAGACTGGCTAAGTGAACAGAAGAAACTCTCAACAAATGCACAGGAACCTCACTGGGAAAGTAGATTTGTGTGTCTAGTTCCCAGCGTGTTTTATCTACACAATCCCTTCTATTTGTTTAAATGAGGGTTTTAGCTACACAAATGCCATCTCTACCTGTTATGTATAATAATGTGATTAAGTCCCACAAGCTCTGAATAACAATTGCACTACTTTCCAAGAACCTGCACCACGGCTGCTATTTCCAAGCAGTGGGAGGTGTTAAAAGCTGAGTATTTTAGCAGTGTTTTAGTATTTGAAGCAAAATTGTAAATAGTTTCCTCTCCCTGGCTGGTGATTTGGTAATATTGTGGTCTAAGTGTGTTGCTAAACTTCTCAGTTTAAAAATCAAATCTATCATTTTGGAAGCACTTAGTCTCCCACATATGACTCACAAACCAACAGTTCTCTTTGCCTTCAAAGAAGTGTGCTCAGCCTTTGTGTAACTCCAGCAAGCAAAACAACAGGCTCACTTCCCTGTGGTGCTTGTGTGCACACATGGACACTTCTCTGGGCTTGGATTCACTTAGCAAGAGTTTAGATTGGCATCAGTCATTTTGCCTGATATTTAACTGGGTGTTCCACTAGTCCCAGCAAGTCTGGTCTCTTACACAGTGTCCCTGTGCTGAGGGAAGGTGAGGGAAGTGTTTGTCTCTGTGGCAGGGGAGTGGGTGCCAGAGTCAGGCTGGGTGGCACACAGACCTGTGGGGTCTGAGCCCAAACTCCCCAGGGATCCACTTGTACCAGCAGGCTTGTGCAGCAGTCCCAGAGTCCTTTAATTTGCCTAACAACACCTTCCTCACACAGGGGTCGTCTGCCTTGTGGTGACCATCATGTACTGGTCTGGCTGGGAAATGGGAGCTGTGGAAGCCATTTCCCTCTCCATCCTCGTTGGCTCCTCTGTGGATTACTGTGTGCACTTGGTGGAGGGCTACCTGCTGGCAGGGGAGAACCTGCCACTCCACCAGGCACAGGTGAGCTCTTCTTCCTGCAGCCTTGCATTTCATTCCTCTTGTGCCACTCAGTTGTGAAGAAGGACATGTGATAAGCAAGGTGGGGGAATATGTCCTGGCACCCTCAGAGCATCCCTGGGCTGTGGTATTTGCTGCTTGTCCTGCTGACTGCTCCAGACTGTGAGCTTGTGTACCTGAGCACAGTAAAATCAGATGAGGGTTTCCAGCCCACATGGTTGTCCCTTTCTTGCTGGCCACAGCTGTGTCCAAAGCAGCCTGTTTTCATGTCCAGGTGAAATGTCTGTGCTGGAACAGCTCTGCACTAGCTGTAACCTCTGAAAACTGCTGTCCTGGGGTGACAACTGTTTTGCTGGACCACCAGCTCGCCTCTGGCCTTGTTAACATCTTTTGTCTCATTGGGAAGATGGAGATCACAAAAGCCTGGGATCTCTGATGCCAGGTGTGGTGTCTGCATGCAGTCCCTGTGCAGTGTAGGCCCAGCAATCAGGCTGATGTGGTGGAAAGGAGGCACAAAATCCAGCAGCCTCTGCTGGGTTCTGAGCCTGTGCCTCTTTGCTCAGCCTGCTCAGAGACCTCACAGATTGTTTGAGGTAGCCTAAAATACCAGTGCTAAAATAACAGGGCTGTCCCTTCCAGCAGGACCCCACAGCGTGCCGCCAGTGGAGGACGATGGAAGCGGTCCGGCACGTGGGTGTGGCAATGGTGTCCAGCGCCGTCACCACCGTCATCGCCACCGTCCCTCTCTTCTTCTGCATCATTGCCCCCTTTGCTAAGTTTGGGAAGATCGTGGCCCTCAACACGGGAGTGTCCATCCTGTACACGTTAACTGTGAGCACGGCCCTGCTGAGCGTCATGGGGCCTGGCACCTTCACCCGCAGCAGGACTTCCTGCCTCAAGGCACTGCTGGGGGTGCTCCTGGCCGGCCTGCTGGCTCTCTGCATCTGCCTTGCCCTGCTGAAGAGTGGATTTAAGATCCCCCTCCCCAACGGGACAGTCCTGTAGACCCCAGGCCGAGAGCCACGTTCTCTGTTCTCTTGCTCCCTTTCTTTCTTTTTTTTTTTTTTTTTTTTTTTTTTTTTTAAA